TAGTAGTTAGTTAGTTAGTTAGTTAGTGTATTAGTAGTTAGTAGTAGTAGTAGTAGTAGAGTAGATAGTAGAGAGAGAGAGAGAGAGAGAGAGAGAGAGAGAGAGAGAGAGAGCTTGTAGTTTCAGAGGGAAGATACTTCTGTGTGTATCCAGGGATAAAAACCATCTGTTTTAACTAACCTTAGGACGTAGAGTTAGTAGCGCAGTTCCGGCACCGTCCATGAGCACAAGGCCACTCGTTAGGCCCTGACTGCTCCTTGTATAGTTATCAACTCTGAAAGCCATGTTACCATGACAATCGAAAACTGTGAAACCATCTGTACCATGGAGTGCCATGCTCGACTTCTTCCAAACTGTTAGCATGGCAGGAGGACCCATGCCTTGCCCAGCACTAAGATTACACTTATCCGCTTCTGGGTAAACCCTGGACATTTTCTCTAGAAAAAAGACAAAAAGAAGAGTGAAAGTGATGGAGATTTTGGGTCTCTTAAGCTGAATCTCTGAGGTCTACAGGGATTGGGTCTTATTCTCACTCTAGATAAAATAGAGAACAAGGGAGTGGAAATTTTGGGTCGGTTAGCTAAAGCTCTGATCACTAAGGGACTTTTCTCTTAGTCTCTCTCTCTCTAGGAAGAAGGAACGAGGAGGAGAACAAGGGAGATAACTATGTCTCCTAACTGAATTACTGGGCACTGAGGGAGCTGGACTCTTATATAGAGAGGGACTGATGATAAAAGGTGGGCTTTTTCCTCAGATGTATAATATGTGTGTGAGCAGTTTGTTAAGTTTATCTGATGCTTTGTTTATGCGTGTCTACGTGGGTTGCGCTTTTGTGCTGGCTCCCTTGAAGATATTTCTGTTAAGATACTTTATATTGTCAGCTTCGTTATCAATGGGGGGTAAAATAGTCATTTGGAACCTAGGACCAGCTTTGTGAGGAAGGCCAGCATCAGTTCTTTGAAGATAAGGGGCTGTTTAGGCATTTAGAAATATAAGGACTTGGGGTATTTTGGCCATTTCACCCTTCCAACATGTGTGTATTAGCCATCTTTTGTAGCACATGGGAGATGGAATGGGATGGGTGAATGGTTTGTCAATTTTTTTAGGTAGTAAGTTGGGTACGCATTTTGAAGAAAGTGGGTGTTTAAGCACCTATAGTGAGCAAGCTATACACTTACTCTCTGGGGCAAAAGATACTTAATAGGCTTTCCTTGGTCCGAAATTTTGGGATCCACTTTAAGATTATCATATAAGTATTTTGAAAACAAAAAGAGGATCTCGAATCCTTAAAACGCTTTAAATCTGATCGTCTAAAAATTGGATGGCCTCTATTCAATCCTTAAAAATTACTCTTTGGACAGATATACAGCGAATAATAATTTTGTTTTTTGGTCTAGGTTGATCTCTAGGATAAGAAGGTTGCATCCCCAAAACTTGGGTCACTAAAAAATATATTTGTAGCTATAACTTTACGCGAGGGAGGAAATGTATTCCCAAATGAGTATATAATCATTTAGCATTTAGTATCAGTATCTTTTGTTAAGTCACATGGGATTTGAATAGCGTCTTATCCATGCCTTGTTGCTTATAGAGAATAAAGTTAACCCCAAGGGGTTACCATATTGACATTGTTATGCAGGTGCACCTAGTTTAAATATCTAAAAATCAGATGCCATCTTAACCTCCATAAGAATTAGAAACCATTTCATTAGTGTTTAATGTAGTGTATGCTATACTTAGAGCAGTGTGGGAAAACGAGGACTTTGGTCAGGACTAACTACGGTCCCGAATCAGGTATGACAGACTCAGCTGACGCTGTCTGAAAAATCGGCTGATTCTGTACAAAAATATAATAAAAACATCCAGAACTGGCCAGATTGGCTGGTTCTAGGTTGGGCAGGGTACCAAGCCCAAATGACTAAGATGAGACCATGTGGACTGGCCCTAGTTTTGCTACTCTGATTTATGGTATATTGAGCCATATGAAATTGAAACAAAGGCCAAAGCAGAAATGCCATACTCTGATTGAATATGGTGAAAGTGGGAGCATTTTGGTCAATTTACGAAACAGGGATGCGTTACGAGGAGAAAACGATTGGTATAGGGGCATTTTGGTCATTTCAAGAAGGGCAGTTTTGATGTGGGGTGTTCAAATTCTGAAGTTGGGGGATAAGGTACGGAGGGCCAGTCAGCTCAAGGGTTAAGAATGGCCTTCCCAATACTTGGCCTTTTTAGAAGCCTAGAGTTTTGGCCTTTGTGTCATTGCCTTCTTAGAAAGGCACAAAGTATAGCTTTTTGAACGGTGGTTATGACTTCTTTTTCTTGTTTTTCTTTTTCTTTCTTTTGTATCATTGTTTTGGGTGGGTACGGTAGGGTTTGGAACCCAAACTAGCCCTTTATGCCCTAGAGATAAAGAGAGAGAGAGCTGATATTCTAAAAAGTGAGATCTCTATTCCATTTCCTCATAGCTTAAATATGAAACATTAACCATATGACAGCTTTAGCCCTACTATTTAGAGAACTTAAAGTATGCGACTTGATCCTTGGATGATGTGGCCACACATATTTCTTTTTCTCCAGAAGGAAATATTCTCCTATTCTTGTCCTTGTGCAACACTTTTTGACCAAAAAGTCCTTGCCTCCTATTCAAAGCTTGAGCTAGAGAGGCAGGGGAGATTAAACCCAATCTCCTTTACTCCAAGTAGGATTAAGAGAGGGATTGGAGGAAAGGAGATTGGGATTAATCTCCTTTATATACATCTCAGAAAAGAAACACAATACAAGTTTCCTTTATTATGTTTATGAACTAATGTGCCTTCTTGTTTCTTAATTTGAACAAGCGATGTTAAACACCTTAGAAAATTGATACTTGGTCTGGTGCTTGGAGCATCAATTGCATGGAGCATCATTTACAAGGGAGTGACAGTTTTGGTTGTCACAAGAAAACGATTACACAAGTAATTTGTGTCCTACACGTTTGTCGACTTTATGAATTGCATTTGTTTTTTTTACAATAGTTTATGGATCGCATTTCCTTGTGAGTTTTGTTTGTTAACCATTTATTGGCTTATCCCTTTGTTTAAAGATATCATTTTTATTGTTTGTTGCATTGTTTTATGTGGTATGGGCATCACCCACTTCTCAGTTATCAGTGGGAACTGAGGTTGCATTCACAAAAGGGCTTTGATACCTACTTTCCAATGCTATATATCAATAGAATAATAATTGGTTGTGGCTTTGAAAGCAATTTCTTGCATGGGAAACAACATTTGTTGTTTTTCTCTCTCTCTATCTCTAGATCTCACTCTTCCACACATCTGTTAACCTTTTTCTCTCCCTCTCCCCCTTCTCTCTCTTCCACAAACACATCTGTTGACTTCTCTCTCCCTCTCCCCCATCTCTTCCAGACATATGTTTGTTAACCTCTCTCCCTCTCCTTACTCTTCCACACCACGTTTGTCAACCTCTCTCTCCGCACACATACACACTAACCGTGCACACATCTACTGACCCCATCCGTCTCTGCACACATGCATACGCACACTCTTGTCAATTTTTTTTTTATTTAAGATTTGATATAATGGAATTCAAGATGTCATATTATGATACCCAATCATCTTGATCATTTATATCTTTAGCCTATTCCTTGCATATTTTCATTAAACCCTCCCTCTCACAACACAAGTACACATGCAGACAACCACACATACATTTGTTAAGCCCCATCTGTCCCACACACGTTTGTTATCCTCCCTCTCTTTTGAACTCTCTCTCTCCATGTCTCTCGCTCATTTGAACTCTTTCTCTCTCTCTATCTCTATCTCTCTTGGAAGGGACATGGAGGGATGAACGTGCAGGTCGATGTCACCAAAACATTATCAAAAAAGAAAGCACTTAGTGGATGCAAAAGTTTGAGGGACTTCTCACTAGCATATGTTTCAAGTTAATTAGCATAAAGTAAACCGACTAAGATTACAAAATTAAAGCACAAGACAGACAAGTGCACAGTTTTGACTTATAACTTGAGATCAGACGTCAATGCACACCACAACATTAGACTTAAAAAGTGGGTTTCACTTTTTCTGAATATTTTATGAGTTCTTAACTCAAATTGTTCCTTTTTTTTTTTTTTTTTTTTTGTTCGAAGAGGACTTGGAGGCTGTTCATCCAAATCTGTCTCTCTCACTTATGTCAACGGGGCAATATAGGTTACGAAAAGAATGTGGAAAAGTATAGAAGGAAATTGTTTCATTCGGGCTGGACCGTACGTGGTAAAGCATTCATTTTAAAGATGATGAGTAGGTGTTCCATCTAAAAATAATGGAAACTGACGGTCCAAATGTTTTTTTACTAGAATTATTATTTTTAGTTTTAAAAATTTACTTATTTTTCATATTCATGATATCCATGTTAGAGATTACATGTCCTTAAAAATTAAGGTCACAAAACAATCTCAAAAATAGATTTATTAGTAGGCCCATATTTCTATATATGCGGGATTGGCCACACAAAAACCTGCTCCCATATATAAAGATACCATTTACTTTAGGATGAAGTTTCTATAAGATCTAGATTTTATGAAAATAAAATAAAATAAAGCCTCATCTTAAATCCTCGTTTGGAAAGCATTTTAGATGATAAGAATCTCTATGATAGCTCCAAAATCAATTTCCAACACCGGTTATAAAATTTGAAACTACAAAAATGTACAAATCTTGTGGATCTTTAAACACTTATTTTAGGGTGAAATGGACTATCTAGATAATTTGTTATAATATATATTGTTTCTTAAGTTTGAAATCCTAATTTTTTTTCATAATCATAATATTCGATCCGATTGATGTAAAGGTTTTTCCATGCTTGAATTGCAATTTTAGATGAGTTATGAGGTGAGGATTTATTTATTTTGATGGGATTGCAGCCCTATCAAACTATTTTCCTTTACTTTAAATAAAAGATATTACAATTTTCTTGTCTGTTATTTTTCAAATTGAGTACTAATGAGTGTGTTATTGGCTAGACTCCAAGTTAAAAAAAAATCTCATTCTTTGTGACATATCCAAGTCATCCCATTTGATATCTAATGGCTAGGAGCACTTGTAACCTTCTTAGAGCAAAGATAAATGGTCTCCTATCATACAAAACTCAAAAAATATTTGCACTGTCATTAAACAAATTATATATTTGATTTAAATTGCAAATCTAAATCACCGTAAACATAAATTTTCAAGTTAAAAAATAATTTAGTTTTAACTCATTCTAAATCAAATTAACATATATTAAAAATTGAACTAAAAAAGAAAAAAAAGAAAGAAAAAGGAAATCAAAATTTTCATATTTTAATTTCATTTAATAGGGGAACTTAGATCCAAAGACTTTTCTAAAATGATCAAAAAAATGATTTCTTGAGAGAAAATAGATAATAAACTTGTGTTTTAAAAAACGGTGAGTCGACATGGAATAGCTTGGGTCAACTCGGGAATCGGTCATCCTATACCGGCTTTCACAAAATATAGGAAAACAACTGTTTTAAGAGCCGAAACGGCGTTTTTCAAGAAAAACACGGCGAGCCGTTACAGTAACACAGTGAGTCGTCACATGTTTACGCTTCAATCTGCGTCGATATCTGGAATGAGATCTGCTCAAATTTTAGTAAAAATCGAGTTACATTTGTGAAAAATAGAGAAAGTGGGATCCATTGAATTATGAGCTCAGAAAAATCTCAGATCTATATAACTATGGTCTCTTCTGAGTCCATTGGCTGCATTAGCTCCAAATTCGTATTTTGACTAAAAAACACTTCTAAATTTAATTAAAAGTATAATAAATTAATTTTCAAAAAAAATAAAATAAAACAGATAATTAAAAGAAGAAAAACAAATTAAATTAAGTAAAAAAATAAGTACTTACCTCTAAGGATTCGAAACTTGGAGTTTCAAGTTTGGATCAGACTACTCTTTTTATTTGTGCCATCATCTCTTTTTTTTGGATGTCTTATGCTTGTTGGAATTGGTAGATCTGAGGTTCTTTGACCTAGATCTAAG